GGAAAGCAAAGAAATGTTTTAGACTTGTACTCTACGCGCTTCTCCAATACGAATGGTACCCTGACTTTGAAGCAAATCAGTTCACGCGGGAGAACAGGTATGGAGTCTTATTCATCTACCCCAACTGTCAACCGTAACCACAATTGCTACAGTTTGCCTTTCTACAATTTTTTATTTATTTTTACTTTTAATATTTATTAATTATGAAGAAAATGCAGCTTGACCTACCTACGCTCTCTCTTCATTTACACGTGTCAACATTCTATTCCTAGACCAACCGTCAAGTCAGCTACTTTCTTTCTTTGATGGTTAGTTTCCTGATTCCCTCTTCTTCCACTTTCCCCTTGCGTAATGCACACGATCACTACCTTTTGTTCAACTGCCTTTTCTTTTAATTTTTTTTTAATTTCCATATCAATTCTCCTTAGGAAGTCTACTTATTTTGTAAATTAAAAAAAATAAAGTTTATAAAAATAACAAGGAGAATCTTTTGTTAAGTTATACGAGATAAATATCCTGTAAGTAAAGACATATAGCTTTTAAGTTTTAACTAATGAATACAACATTTTCTTTCTAAATTGTTATATAACGTTAAAAATTGTCTGCTACTTATCTACTATCACAAGAATAGGCAAGTTACTTTAACAAAGAGAATAGGCAAGTAAAGCATTAAAAATGGGATATCTGGCAATTATACATCATTATTAGAGATTGGACGCGTTTAGTAGTGCCTCTCGGAATTCAAAATCACTTTTTTAATTATCGAAACTGATAATGGTGTTTGGTAAAGATCATAAAAAATAATTTTTAAAAAATTCTTGAATAATCTATAGTCAAAATCAGAAGTAGCTTAAGACAATTTTAGATTTTAAATTGTGCAGAAATCAGGATAGTAAAATTAATGATTATTAATAAAGTTATATTAAATAATTAATAATTAATTATATTATATATTAATTCATAATTAATAAATAGATAGTAATGATTTAATTATTAATTGAATATTAATTTAAGATCGGAAGTTAGTAAACAAAAAATAAATAGTAATTACTCAATTAATAATTAATATTAAATTATAATAATTAATATTTAATATATTAATCAATAATAATAATTATTAATTAATCATTATAAAAAGAATAATTATCAAATAATAAATTATTAAATAAACATTAGTAATTAATTAACTAATTATTTAATTATGTAACTAAAATTAATAATTTAAGTAATAAGAATATTAATAAATTATGTTTGTACTAATTATTTTTCTTAATATACTAATTAATTACTTATAATCTAATAAATATGAGTAAATTACTTATAATTAATTTCTAATGACTATTTTTAATTGTTTAGCATATTAATTAATTATATGTATAATTTAATTACTAATTTACTCATTAATAATAATTTATCTATTATTAATATATTAATTTAATATTATTAATTACGGTCATCTTAACTATCTATAATAATTAAATATCATAATTTACCAAATAATATTACACTACTTTTAAAACTAGTAACACTTAGAGCACGTTTGGTTGATAAATTCAGAATCATGCTTTAGAACCATTCTCAATTTACGTGTGTTTTTTATGAGAAAAAATACTGTAGTGAACCATGAACCATAATCGAATCATGATACGAATTCTTGAACCAAACACACCTTTATATAATTATAGTTTACCAAATACTCAATTAATTTTTGTAACAACTATTTTTTGGGAGAAAGAGGAAAATAGGCCAAGACTTGAAATGAATTAAAATTAATAGGCCAATAGTTTACATAAGTTAATAAATAGTCCAAATTATTATTTTTGTCCATAACTTGTATAGTTATGAACCATAACTTGACAAGTTATTGTCTATAAATCACAATTTTTATCCATAACTTGTTTGGCTATGAACCTTAACTTGACAAATTTGTCCATAACTTATCTGATTATGAACCATAACTTAACAAATTATGACCTATTAATTTCTATAACTAAAAATTAACATATATACTTCTTCAAGCTTTTTATATTGACATATTTTCTACTATTTTCGCTATTTTTTTTTTATCTAACATAATTAAAAATAATTTTTTTAAAATTTACTGTACTACTAAATAGGCCATTGTCAACTTTCCAGATACGCAAAGGGATACAAATGTAATTTGACAATTAAAAAACGCGTGGGCAGAGAAAAACCGCGTTAAGGCTGATAATGATACTATATCTCGCTATTATATATATCTGTATATAAAAAAAGATGTTGCAGGCGGTTCAGTCTAAAGTCTCTTTCTCTCAATAGCTAATCTGAAGGAAACACCAAAAGAAAAAGAAAAAGAAGTTGTAGTAATGGCTAAGAACTCGCTAGGATCGATGGAGGAGGTGCAAAAGATATTCAACAAGTTCGACAAGAACCGCGACGGAAAGATCTCCCGGTCGGAGCTGAGGGACGTCCTCGGCGCTCTCGGCTCCAAAACCTCCGACGACGAAGTGAAGCGAGTGATGGCTGAGATTGACGCCGACGGAGACGGCTACATTGATTTCGACGAGTTCGTGAAGTTCCACAGCGGAGGATCTGAGAACGACGGGGCCGCCAACGAGAAGGAGCTCCGCGACGCCTTCGATCTGTACGACCTCGACAAGAACGGCGTCATCTCCTCCCGCGAGCTACACTCCGTTCTCAGGAGCCTCGGGGAGAAGTGTTCGCTCAGTGACTGCTCTCGCATGATCAGATCCGTCGATGCCGATGGCGACGGCAGCGTCAATTTCGAGGAGTTCAAGAAGATGATGACCCGCGCCTCTTGATAATATCATCCACTGCTCAAATATATTCTCTATCAATTACTCGAACAAAATCAACCGCACCGTACGGTAGGAAATTGATAAGGATTAGCTTAGCTAGGTTTAATTTTTCATTTAATACTCCTCCTGCTAACCGCTGCTGTAGATAATAATATATTATTACTGCTTATCTTTTCAGATCCGTTTGTTTGGTAATTAATTGGCGATATTATCATTCCCAGTAGCAAATTAAAACGAAACCAAAAAAAAAAAGTTGTGGAATTAGGCTTAGGTTTGGTTCTTAAATCTTAATCATAATGATTTTCCTTATGGCTACGTCTCGTTTAAATTCCGCTCACTATTATTATTATTATTATTATTTTTTAAAGTCTTTTCGGTGCTTATTAATTAATTTGCTAATTGCTCCTTTCTAATTAATTTCCTAATCGTATGGTCATTATGCGTTTGCAATTGGAGTGGTGGAAAAAAGCAAACACGTTAGTGGAATTAGCCAATTAGCTTATTATAAGCCTATGAATGTGAATCATGTGACATATTATTGTCCGACTCCGTGTGGACTGGACTACAAGTTTTGTGGTGCACGCCGTTCCATGCCCATCTAATCTAATTAATGGTTTGACATTTGTTTGTTTGAATTGAATTGAGCTGAATTAATTAAATAATTTGTTTTTAAGGAAGAAATTTAGAAAGAATTTTAATGGTCCAGTAAAATATGTATTCAGCTTAGTCTGTATAGGACCCAAAAGTTACTGCCTTACGCAAGGAACATAAATAGGAAGAATATGAGCATGCTTTGCTTTGCTGACTTCAACACGGACATAATAATAATAATAATAATAATAATAATAATAATAATAATATTGTCTAAATTCCCTCATGAGGAAAGTGACAAAGTGTTATGTGACCCTACCATTATTACTATTATTATTACTGTTACAAGTCACCAATTACAATTAGGACCGGTGATACACGCTTTGCTTAAGAACCCCGTTTACTTTGCAAATTGTTTGAATTATGTGAGTTTGAATCTATATATGAGTTTTGCTGATTTGAATTAGTATTTAGTGACATTATTAGAATTATAGATTTTTACAAAATATAAGTGAAAATAGTTCTTGTGAATCTTTGCGTTGAGTTTTAAACGGTAAATAGATTATAACCTTAAGAACTTTGTGAAGAGAAAGGGTAAAATTGAGTTCAACCTTCAAAGAACCCTAAACCTAAATTCAAGTTCAAAATGTAATGCAACTAAATAAGAATTTGAACTCAAAAGCTGGTTTCAAACCCATCTAAACCCTCCAAACAAACCGGCACGAAAGTAATAACTTAACATATGTATGTAGGTAAAGGTAACAACTCATCGCATACATAGTATGGGATTATTCTTTAAAGAAATATATATTACTGAAATTTATTCTTGGAATTGTACTGAAATCCACCAAAGAAAAATAATTCCATGGAAGTGAAGCTAAAAAGTATATTGTTTTGATGAGCCTGCGTAGTAGTATTGGGTAGTTGGTCAGCCAAGCGAAAAATGAGGCTCTTAGAGGAATTATGTAATTACTTTTTGTAAATTTCTATGGTAGGAACTTTTTTCTTATCCTACCAAATTTATGTGAATTCTCAAATATTAAACTGTAAAAAAAAATTAATTCAACGATTAAAATAACAATTTTTACTAATTTTGGTAGGGTAAAAAACAGTTTATGCCGTACAAAATTCCCCCCCCCCCCTTTTTTTTTTTTTTCCTTATTGCTAAAGATATCTCTGATCTAAAGTGTGATGCTTGTTATAACAAAGGTTGAGCTAAAGAACATTCTTTTAGTATTAATTACACATAGTGGCATTCAATTTACATATATCACATGATGCTAATAATGGTAACTGGTAATCTAAGGTTTGGTTCTCCCTGGGATTGTGTGTTTTGGTTCGAATTGAGATTGGAATCGGTATTTAGATACGCAAATAAATTATAATTTAAATTGAGAATAAAATTTAAAATGTGTTTGGATAAAGTGTTGAAAACTGTCATTATAGTTTTATAACAAATCTTATAAAACCTTATTGTAAATGGCATTAAAAAATATGCAATATGGATGGGTCTCTTCATGATGAACACATTGAAAAAAAAAATCATTTCAATCGGAATTGAAACGAAGAAGTTATGACATTTTTAAGCAAGTTGAGGAAAGACAAAAAGTAAAATCCGAATTGTTATCACTATAGAAAACAATTCAGATTGTGTGAATTAAATGGGGTTAATTCTAAAATTAGTTGCTATTTGGTATAAGGATTTTGATTCCGGGTTCAAACCAATATTTGTTTACAAAAAGTAAAAAGTGGTTCTGATTTCACTCATTTAGAATCAGTGTTTGATTTAAATGATTCTGATTCAAAATTTAAGTCCTGATGTGATGTTTTAAACCATGAATCACCCATAATTCTAAAATCACACACCCCTTAATTTTGGGTGGTTTAAACCCATGATTATGATTCTGATTTTAGAACCATTATTTGGACCTAAATAATAAATCATGGTTCTAATTTTAAAATCAAAACTAGAATCATCCTAATTTAAACTCTCATACCAAATGAACCCTTAAAGATTTGAGCTATGGTTTGAATTGTTAAAACAAACAATACATAGATCTATTTCCAACCACAGCCAACGTTTCAGACGACACCCCTAGCCCTACCTCTACCCAAGGTTCCGCAGTCGTCCGCAATCTTAACTCTTATTTCGTCATATGACTTCTTTTAAGAAGAGTTGTAACTACCAAGCGTATATATTAATAATTTAATTAGATATAAAATATACATTCCTTTTATTAATTATAGGATCATAAATAAATTACTGATGGATAAACATGTAATTAGAGATCAAATGGGAAAATTATAACCTAGCCCTAGTTTTGAATAATATAGTAAATGGTAAAATAACTTTCTGACAAAATTAAAATTGATATAAAATATTTGAAGGTTGTTTTTAAAAAATGGCAAGTTGAAATATCAACTGATCAGTTGTTTTCTCATTAACAAGCGTATGCATCCAATTGAAAAGTATGTTGAACTTGAGGGTTGTCACCTCATCAAATTGAAAAGTGTGTTGTCTCAACTCTGTTAAATGCTACTTTATATGTCAACCAACTCCTGAAATAGCTCGCAACTTCAAACACGGTTGAGATTTTTCTATATTGTAAGACAAATTATAGCATATATATGAGCAATAATTGAAAATGATAAAAAAAGAAAAAACTAAAAGACTTTAAATACAAACAAATTCAATTAAAAAAAAATAGAAACTGAATTAAGAAGACATCACACAGAATCTAGACACTGGAGAGAAATCTTTCGTTTCTTCTTTTAATCTTCATCAAATTTCCAAAATCTGAACTTGGATCCCAAATTTCATGACATTAATTCAAGACCAAACCAACGGAAACAACCATTTCTTCGGGATTGTTTGGTTGGGGGATTCGTATCCCGATTCAAATTATGGTTCATAGTTGGATATAGTGTTTTCTCTTATAAAAAATACACATAAATAAAAAATAGTTCTAATTTTATGATTTTAATTCATGAACTAAACATTTCTAAATGATCATGCGTGCTCCTTCCTCTTCCTGTAATTATTGATTTACGTTTTTTTTTTTTTTTTTTTTTGTTTTTTTTTTTTTTTTTTTTTTTTTTTTTTTTTTGGTGTGTGTGTGTACAGGTTCTGTTGCTGCACCAGCTTTTCAATATGAATTCAGACATTAATGAATTTGAGCAAGAGTACCTATTCTGAAGATTTTCAAAGTACTGGATGCCAGTGGAGTGGAGGAGTTGTTTACCAGAAGAATAATTTCCTTTTAGATACATTCCTTGTCTAACATTTGCAATGCAATCGTTGTAAAGTTATTTATGCTATGAAAATTAGTTATTACTATTTTTATTTATTTTTCAATTTATGCTTCTTCTTAATTCCAATTAAGCTTCAAATTTACACAAATGAGGATTAAATGAATAAATAAAGGAGAAACTAAAATGAAACAAAATAAACTAAAATGAAACTAAACTAAAAATCAAATAAAAAATAAAAATGATGGAGAACAAAGCCAGTCTAAGGTAGTGCTGGAACTTCAGGTGAAGGGCATGCCCGATACTTGAATTTTTTCAAGTTCAGTGAGTAGGATCCTTTGTCCGCCCGACCAGTCTCTTAAATCGGGCTCGGGTTCGGGTAGCCTGAAGAAGAAAAACGGAACGTGCTCGCCGCCTGTTGAAACTCCCTGCCTGATGTCCACCGTTATGCCCACCCGGGTGCCTAAATCAACGGCTAGTTTTTTGACAATTGCTACCTGACCGGACCGCCGCTCGAATACCCGACTTTAACGGCTAGATTTTTGATCGACCCGAACTACCCAACTACAACGACTCAATTTTGGGCCATTGCCCGAGATGCCCAACCAGCCGCTCGAAGCCTGACCTGCTGAAGACAAAAAAATAGCCGTTGGAGGTCAAATTTTGGGGAAAAATGATTTTTTTAACCAAAAAATTTCTCTATAAATACCCCCTCCTCCAAACATTTTCTTCACAACATTTTGAGATTTGGTTGTTCTATTTGTGCTCATGTGAGTGACGGTAAACTTGAGTGAAGGACAAAAGCATTCCTAAGATTTGAGTTTGGGGTGAGCGGCTATTGGTTGTGGTTTGTTGAGCCAAAGTCACCAAGTTTGGTAATTCACAGAGTTGATGATTTTGCCATCCTATTTGAAGATAGAGAGTTAATAGTTGCAGATAAAGATCCTAATATTCGTGAACATGTGGAGCTTGATAATCTGGTTTGTATTGAATTAATTGTGACAAGTTCGGTGATCAAGTTGGTTGTTGTTTAAAAGTTTAGGCGTCGCTTAGACTTATTTGGTGTTGTAAATTAGAATTAGCCCTATGGGGTTTTGGAGGAGATGACGAAGGAATTTCATTATTTAGGCTTGGCTTAATTTTCACCGAGGTGTAAATTGTTAGGTTCGTGGCTTTAATTAAGCCCATGAAGCTTTGTTTTTGTTATTGGGCCCAAGGCCTATGTCTCTCATTAAGAGCTTGCCGACTAAGGTTTTTAGAAAGTATATATATATATATATATAAGTTTAAAATAATTAATTAATTTGTGAAGAGTTTAACCCCATATATATATATATATATATATATATATATAGCCGCAAGAGTGACAGAGCCGTGCATGAGGAGAGCAGCACGTTTGGTTATTCCCATTGATACACAATTGTCTCTCTTTTATTTATTTTGAGTGGGATTTAGTTAGAGAATTTAAT